AATTCAGTTCATAGTTTCGTTAATTTAGTTCACAAGTTATTTACAATCAAATTAAATTGTTTTAGAAGTTTTTAATAATACTAATCTAATCCCCTTAATCTTATCAACACATAGCTAGATTATAATCATAATAGCATACATTAAATGATTTGGTACTAAATCACATTGAATTAGAGAATATGAAAGGATATAAATGAGAAGGTTCTTTGATTTTGTGAACAGAGACTGTAAACTATAGTTAGGACTAGAGTACAGGCAAATACCGGCACTTAAATCCATTTGATTTTAAAATATAATTCAAGTTATTTTCATTATTAATAAGTTATAATTAATCTTATTAGTAGAGGTTATTTTTAATTTAAACAAATTATAAAAATAAATTCAATTATATTTTAAAATCAAATGGATTTTAGTGGCGGTATTTGCCTGTACTCTAGTCCTAACTATAGTTTACAGTCTCTGTTCACAAAATTAAAGAACCTTCTTATGTATATCCTTTCATATGGATATGAGTTAACGATTTTTTAGTCGAAACTAAAAACTTTGATACACTTTGTATAAAATTTTGGCAAATTTTACTCGTAATGCAATAATAACTCATTTGGTTATAAATTCAAAAAGTCACCAAAAACTGAATGCAATTATATCTCAATATTATTGCCCCCCTCATCAGAAACTTTAATATAATTGCCGCAACTAAATGACAGTAAATACGGTAATAGATAATTACGGTAATGGCAGAGATGTTGAGGACCACTATATTAGTGCAATGAGTGCTTAATGTTTGCAAGAATTGTGAGGAAATGTTTTTGCAGTTGTTTAGCGATAATTCGTTGAGATTTGCGCCACAATTGATGGCAATGGTGTCGAGAACACGTTCAGCGTTGGATCCGCTCCAACCGCTCAGATTGAGGGCTTTCATGCAAATGAACAGTTGGTTCTTATCCATCAAATCAAAGAGATGCTGGTATTGGAAACTCGTGTCCGAAAATGTCTGCAAATCCAGACTTTTCCACATCAGAGGTGTTGTTGTTATGATTTTACGCCAACTTTCGCACACTTGAGACAGACTTTGCATACAAACACACCATTTGGTTAATCAAATGCCAATAACGTTATGGGAATCCAATTCACTTACTTAATGATAGATTGTGTCCTATTCTTGTCGTCCACTAAAACATAATCAAAGATTTTAATGAGAATCTCATCGGCGAGGATCTGCTCGAAGTCTGTGTCCAACGTCTTCAATAGACAACTGAACTCCCATTTGCTGTTCATTCGGTTCACTTTGCGATCACATTGTCTCTCATTATCTTCACTTTGTTTGACACTTGACTTCTGTTTGTAATCCCTTTCGGTTCGTCTCCTTTCATTCAATGCTGTCTTCTTTTGCTATTTTAAACCAATCATTAAATCCATTAAAACTATTCATCTATTAATACAACTCGTAATGAAAGCAATCAAACCTTTTTGGGCGGCTTTTGGTCGGCGACCACAACCACTTCAGTCACTCCATTGGTCGCGGCTTTAGGTTTGCGGCCCCTCTTCTTAGGCACCATTTCGTTGCCATTATTGTCGACATTTAATCCATTCTTTGCACAATTGGTGGCCGACTGCTGCCCAACGATCGACCAGTTCTTCGAGTTCTTCCTCTTATTCTTCGATATCTTAATGGAGGGCACAATGCGTTCGTCACTCAGGGAACAGTTGTTGTCTTTTGAAGTGTCGGTGCCATCACTGGCCACCGCATTATCAGCGCTCGAGTTGTGATTGTCTTCAGTGGTAGTATTGCCGGAATCGTCGCTGTCTTGCACTTCGGGGGTGTAATCCATGTCCACATCGACCCCCTCCTCAGGCCATAACTGTTTGCTCGTGTAGTCAAACAGTATCTTCGGATCTGTGGCCGATGTCTTCACTTGATTACTATTATTGTTATTTGTATTACTTTTGTCGTCAATTATATTCATAATTAACACTCATTTCAATCCCATTTCAATAAAACTTTTACATAATTTAAAGTTCACATCAAAAACACAAAACTAATGATTATTTCATATGAAATGTCTATTGAATGGCAAATCAATCGATGATTTGACGCGAGTTTTGATGATTTGCTGCCAAACCGTGTATTGAAGAGTGAATTGAACGCAAGTGTCGATCAAATCTGAGTGAAAATCTCAAATATATCTCAAGTGATGTGAAATGAAAAGTCGAGAAATCATATGAAAAATGTTTCGCAAATAATCATAATATTCACAAAAACTAATGAATGAATGAATGTTTGTGTTGTCTCTCAAACACTACACAACTCTATGCAGTACTGTATGTATTGATCGCATAAACACTGGCTTTTTAGCGCTCAATAGGAAAAACACTTGCAATCAATTGTTCAGTGAGTTGTTGTCAACCATTTTGACCATTCATTGTGCGGATCAGTTGATGACAAACCTGCGGACAATGACAAGTGGTTGACAGACATACAGCGAGACAATGAGTGCACCGCTGAGACCACAACACGGTTTGGCCCACGAATGCCATTAACTGTACGTTTGGTCTCCATTTGTCTACTGTTTGCCAATATTGAGGTCATGAAACTGAATACTATTACATTATATTGACAGCACTTTCATTGCACACACACTCACAGGTCATCCCCATAGATGGCCCCACGAACTAGCTGTCATACACAACGTTACGCTCAAAGTGGGTGTCACCACCAATTTGCCTACTTGCTTTATCAGTAAAGTATGTTACGAATTAAACTATATTTTTGCTCCCTTTTTTAAAAGTTTAAAGTTTAAATGACAGTATTATAATTGAAAATTGGGAGTTACTATTATTTATTAGTATATTACTACTATTATATTATAAATTAACTTTATTAGGATTACATTATGGTAGTACAATTGTCAAGTTGATTTCATATGAAGTAAATGCAAACAATCATTAATTTATGGATCAGTTGTCAAATGAACGCATACTTCGGATTTGCGAGTGAACGGAAATCGTGAACAGTTGCCATCATCCAGGTATTCAATCATCTCATTGTAATATTTGTCCATTTCTGACATCTCTTCAGACGTGCATTNGATCAGTTGTCAAATGAACGCATACTTCGGATTTGCGAGTGAACGGAAATCGTGAACAGTTGCCATCATCCAGGTATTCAATCATCTCATTGTAATATTTGTCCATTTCTGACATCTCTTCAGACGTGCATTTCATCTGAAATGTGTGTATCATTGATGAGACTTTGTGTCAATGGATGTACTGAATGGCAATACCTGTG